AATTTATAGCGCCTCGAAAGTCAATGAGGCAAAGTGACTTCTTTTTTTGCCCCCCCCCCTGTAGATATGGACCTAACGTTTCGACAGCATGCCAGCGTACGCTAGCGTTTTTGCGACTAGGAAAACCTAGGTATCGACCCGACTTTTGGGCGTACACTGGAATACGCTCAAAACTCTGATGCAAAGTACGGACACATTCTGACAAATTTTGCAGGGCAATATGAATATTGAATCAACCGTATAGCTACGGCCTCAGTTTGAAACATGAAGAAAATGCTACTCACTGAGTTGTACACTGTCTGCCAGCGAAGAAATAGGCACAGGCAACTTGTAATCCCATCGCCAGCTGGAGCACTCTGTTTGGAGGAACCTGCAGCAAAACCAGTTCGTTGCAGCTTCTAATATACGAGAAGATTTCCATGTGGTAAAAGTAGTAAGGGGAACAGGACTAACAAAAACAATTCCGAAGTGAAAATTTAAAGCAATGAGCAAAAGATGCAGCAACGTGGGTGATGGATATTAGAGAACGACAGCAAGAAGATAAGGCCAAGAACGATGGAAGAGAAATAAAATCATCAGTAGGAGTCGCAGAACGTTCGACACTTGTCACTATGATGTTCACTTTCAGCGAGAAGCAAAACAGTGTGCATCTGGGTTTCACTCTCACTGTACTTGCGACCTTTATTTTCAACGTGTACAACAACTGAGGCAATGGCGGTGAAGTGGCAAGTACGCCAAGTGGTACGCCTGTCACGCCAGTGCTTGGGTATCAAATCCCGGGTACACTCCCGCCCAGGCCGACCAAGCTTTCTACCGCCAGGATCCAGGAGATTGGTACCAGGTTTGTCTAGGCGAATAAGAACACTTACTTGTACAAGTCAAGTAAGTCTTCGTATAGGGCACATCGCATTCAATAATCCAATAAGCACTCTATTGTGAAGGGAGCAAGAATGCGCGTCGCATTCAAAAATGTACAGAACCAATGGGAAATAGTTTATTTTGTCAAACTTTCGGTTACTGGGATCATACAAGCAATGTGTCACACACTACTGACGTTTCAAAGAATAGATCAGAACCATCGAGAACTTCTAGAAGCATAAAGGTTGAAAATTCAACAAAAATGCATACCTTGCAAGAATTCTTCCATCTGACAGTAGACCAGCGATTGATACACCGGCATGAGTATCAATTTCATATATTTTCTTCTGGTGTGAGCAAAGTTCATTCTGAGCGCGCTGAAAAAAGGGTGAATGAAAACAATCTGTCCTTGGCGGCTTCGCGATTGCAAATACTTCTCGGCTTTTCATTGAACGTGTTCACGCTGCTCATGCAAATCCTATTGAAATGCGCTATTACTAGCTTTGAGCTACAGCTAGCAGCTCTAGATGTATGGATAGATGATATGGATGTTAAATCTAACAATGAGCGCAATCGCCTGAGCCAAAATAAAGTTCTAAGGGCGCAACTAATAAATCTAGAAGATTCGTTAAATATCTCAGCATTTACAAATGACAGTTTTGGAGCAATCTTCTGAAAGAATGCTGAAGGAAACGCAGTAAATGAAACTTGCAGCAAATTATTAACACAATGTTGTAAATGACGTAATCAAGCTAGTCTGTGGGATTAATAAGAAATTCCAAAAAAAAAATACGTGAATTACCTTCAAAGCAGCCAAAACAGCATGCGATGAGCTTTTGATACCCACAGTAGCCGAGCCTTGTTTCATAGCTTCCACGGCATAATCCACCTGGTGCAGTCGACCCTAAAATTAGAAAGGATGTTGTAATGTTGTCGCTAGCACGCTTCGTTTTCTTTCTTTCCCAATTTATCTTTAAGCGCGTTATAAAAAAGTGAGACTCATTCCGAGTGTGCTAAACCAGCCCACAGGGCAAGCTCCCTAACCACATGATCGGATTTAAATTGAATCAACACAGCGACATCGTTCAGCTGCGTTCATACATTGCGGCAGCATCTACCAGCGACCACCAGCGTTTCGAGCGTCCGTCAACGACCACGATATTATGGATATCGATCTAGCGAATGCCAGACGCCGATGGAGTCGGCTGGATGCATATATCGTATACTTTTCTCAGTCGCTTAGTGCTGACGGACGCTGCCGACAAACACTGGTGTTTTCTGGTGGACCCTGGGGGCGCTGTGTGAACGCTGCCCGGAAAAGTAAGAAACGCGAGGCCTAGCTATAAATCGCCCATAAAAATACGGCGAATCGGGATATTCTAGAAATGCTATGACAATGCACCCAAAGTCTACTTAAGCAAGGTATAGAAAGAGCCCGAAGTCTCCAATCCTCTCTCTATGTGCCCGCAGGAGGATTCCACCAACAGAAAATTTTTTTAGCATCACAGAGTGGATTAATTATAAAAACACGTCACTGACTTCCGACTCGTTAAAATACGAATTTGGAGCGGTAAATGCACAGAGGAGAGTGGAGATTCAACGGCATAGGGAGCCGTGGTCGTCAACTCCACAAGCTCACAGAGACACAATGCTTCAGGATAGTCAGCTAGCCTTACTTTTGTAGGGCTCTGATTTCCTAGTTTTCTTTTGATTCCTCTTTTAAACGCCTAATGATTTCAGTGTGTAATTTTCCAGATAGCAAAGATGCTCCTACACTAGTTTTTTTATTTGTTTTCACACTATCGATCTGCATGTTCTAGGTTAACTTTATCAGCTAATGGAGGTTCAAACGAACGCCTGATCCTTGCAGGGATATCAGATGCATGGACTGTTCAGGTCATGAGAACCACTTAAAAAGAAACATTGGCCCGAAATGATCGAAAGATATGCTAATGTAACACAGAGCGTTATAAATTCTGTTCTCGGTATGGGGCATATCCACGGGAGTCGTGCAAGTCTCCCAATAAGTCAGGTCACCATCCACCGGCAACCGATGGATCTCATCTTTGCGGCGATAAATATTTTTTAACAAAGTCACTCCGCATCCTATGTACAACTCTTCTCGACCGAATTTCATGAATCACTGCATTTCGATGGATGCTACTGGGCAAAACGGATTGTTGATGCACAACTCACATGTATTGGAAATTTCACTAAACAAGACGTCAAAAAGGTTCACGGAACCGTCGCAATGAGAATCCCGTCCAAGAATTACGCTAATGATTTTCGGTGGCCGGGTGACTTAACCAGGGAAACTTCCATACTTCCCGTGTCCATGATGAGTAGCTTGTAGGCTCTGACGTAGGCCAGTCTCGGTAAAACTACGAAACTCCTGCAGAATTGAGGATGGTAGGGTGAGGCCTACCACCCTTAATGGCATACATGGAGAAGATGAGAAAGGAAAATACAGCACGGACGGCTCGCATTGCCTTTCTCGTACTTCTCCAAGTATGCTCTCTCGAAAGGGGTGACGGCTTCGTATCCCACAAGGAGGAAGGTCCCAGTGATTCACTCTGGCTCGCAAGAGCGATAAGGAATGGAGCAACGGCGTCTGCTCTAAAAATTCGGTGATCCACGGGACGCAGCTGACACAATTGACAGTGAAATCGTAGTCCAGTATTTTCGCCCAAGAAAAAAAAAACGAAAAAAACAATAACGTAAGAAATAGAATTAAGAATTAAATTGATATAACCTCGTATGGAATTCAAACGAAAACTCGAGGACAGGATGCGCTGGGAAGTACAAATAAAGCTATACTTAATATTTTAGTTTGCCTGCGAATTGAAGGGCGTGACAGACGGATGTGTTGACGAGTGCCAAACCCGTACTCACCAGACTGTTGAAGCGAAGCGAAGGGACAAGATTCATACACTTATTGTTCCTATCACTCGTTTTCAACCAGTTGTTGTCGCATACTCGCTTCAACTATGCAGAGGACGGCTTTTCGCGCAGTGGTTCACTGATACTGCCTGACACGCCCCTTCGTCCGCAGCGAACCAGAGTATAGGCATGCCGTGAGACTGATTCGCTGAAGCTGTTTTAACTGGACCAAACAGATCCGATTATGCAGTGAGTTAGCTGCTGAAAACACTTAGAGCCACCTTGAGAGCCTCTCTGAGACTCGAAGCATTGGGTTTTATGAGCCTCAAAACAGTTCACCACGGAAAGGTCAGTGAATGTGCGCTGTGATGGATAAATTGTCGTTGCCAATAGCTTATAGTCGTCACTTTGATCAGCAAATAACAGAAAAAAGCTTATATCGTACCTGGGGGCTCCACACAGAAAGGCACATCTTCGTAGTTGAGTGCCGAAACATCTTATCGCGCCAAAATTCACCAGCAACACGATGCCGAACAGTAACGGCAAGGCATCTCAAAACCTCTCAGGACATTTACAAGGGGGCACATGTCGAACAATGATTCGAAAAAACAGCAACTCATATAAATTGCAAGACGAAGAATATGCCCGTAACAAGAGAGAAAATGCAGAAGAAAAACTAAAACGAAGTTTAAAAGCAATGCTCAAAATCATCACTAAAACAAGTTCTTGTGTGTGCGCGCGAGTTTCGCGCTCTGCGTGCACTATGGAGCGCGTAATCTGACCGCACATCGCCTCGTTGTACGTCAAAACTCATCGAGAGTTTTGATAGATCTTGCAAAACACTTGATCACGGGTTTTTTTTCCACGGGCTAGACAGAAGGTTATGTTTTATTTATAGTAACCAGCGGTATCGCCCGGCTGACGCCGAGCTCTCCTCCTTCTTTTCAGCTGGCCTGGCTTCGCCAGGCGCCACGGAAAGGAATTTGTTAATTGCCTGAGCTGCTCATATTGCGCGCTAGTGGCGAATCATAATAGACAGAGTAACCTAGCGAAATCTGTACCCCTCATATTTGCAGAAGGCCTGCTGGTTTCGGCCATAACGCCCATTCTATACGTAGATCTTAGAAGTATAAAGGAAGTACAGAATATCAATATGTGTTGCACAGTAGACGAACAAATCCCGTTTTTATTACCTGCATCACAACACCAACGGTGGGCGATTAACTTGTCATTAACATGCAATCCACCTGCCAAGGTTGCATGAATGGCTGCAGATGACAATATTTAGGCTGCGTTCGTAAATATCTGAGCTCTCTTAGAGTTCTCTTTGAGCTTCGTTCCTCTTTGATCGCCAGTCGGATCGCCCAGCTGCCGCCGGGGCGCTCCTCCTTCTTTGTAGCTCGGCTTCGCCGAGGCGCGCATCATTACCGGGATGGAATTTTAGAACTTGCATGAGCTTAGTGGTTGAATCATAATAGACAGAGTAACCTAGCGAAATCTGCACCCCTCATACTTGCATACATCAGGCATACTCAAAAACAATATCTCACAAACTACTTCGTTATTCGTTCTCATCAGTGATTAAAAGTTGAAAAGCAAAAAAGAAGTTAAATACTCACTGAACGCATAAAGTGTGTTCCAATATTGAAGTTTTTGATTTTTCCAAACTTCCTGTTTCAGGCGAAGTATATACCCCCCCCCCCCTAGTGGGATGAGTACATTTTTAGTGCTATCAAAGGAGTGATGGCTGTGGGAAAATTTTGCTTACTGAGAGGCTTTTTTGGCAGTATAGTGGTCAGATGTCGTGAGAATGTCCCCTTATCTTTACTTATCAACTGATAAAATTGCTTGTCACCCGTCATCAATGTCGTTATAACTAAAACTCCATAATTTCGTGGTGAAGAGGCTTCAGCTTTTGACTGAGCAACAACTGCATCGTTCTCTATCAGACCCTATCAGTTATCATTTCCTGTCACCCGCCGTCGCCTTCTCCACCTTCCCCTTGATATCATTTGCTGAAATCAACGCCTAACTGATGCTGTGTACCGCGTTATGAGTATGTTGTGCTTTCCACTCTAACTCCCTTTATCAGCTAGCAAATCTTGTCACCCACAGGTTCCTGTGCCATAACCTATATCATATCTTGAAAAAACGCCGCAGTGTTCCAGTCGGACCGTCCCTCTGCTTCCTTCTCTTGCGCATGCTCAGATCGGGCTGAGCACGCGCAGGGGAAGGAAGCAGAGGGGGGGGGGCAGTGCCCCCCCCTCTCTCGGCCCCACCCCACCCTGCCCCCGCACGAGCACACGTCCAGCTGCCACGCCAGCAGCTCGTGCAATGGCTCGGAGTGTACCGAATGGTTGTCTTATATAGCGGAGGCCGATATCACGATCAAAACATTGGATTGATACTTCCGCACCGAATTGCCTGTTTGCCTAGCGGTCGTTTTCGCCTCCAGCGAACTCGAACCGTGAAGCATTTGTGACGGACAAACCATAACAGTACTTCACATACATACAGGACGACAAACGACACACAAAGTTTTCTGCTTCTTATAGAATTAGAAAGCATTCCAATATAAGTATTTCTCTCAGCAATTATGGATGCGCAGTATTGGGGGGATAGCTTCGAATGGTTAAGGTTTGAATTGGCAAAGTAGTACGCCTACCATCTTTAAACCCATGTCCAAAGAATGTATATCACGGTGACGGGAGAGTTACTAAGAAAAATCGTCGTGCCCACACTGGAATAGCATACGCGAAGGAGATAAAACAACACTGTAAATCAAAGTGAGAGAAAATAGAGGATCACCACAGATCAAATCAGCAGCTGATCGATATTACATCTCGTCATAAGCCTCGGTTGTCATCAATCGAAAAATGTGCGACAGACAGGACACTCCACGCCTTCTACTTCATCCTTACCGTTCCGGCTGCTCCGCCACTGAAGCCAGAAATGAGTTGCTGCCGGCAATGGGTAGCAGTGCAGCCTCTTTTGCAACCTGGGGTAGTACGATCGCTTCGCAGTGTGAGGGGTAAGTCTCGATGAAGCACCTTTATGCCGACGCCCTCACTCTTCCAACACTCCATCGTTCTTGCCTCTGTAGGAACCAGTCCTGCCTAATGCCTACGGGAATCGGAGAGGACGACTTCCACTCCTAAATCCTTTATTCAAGACATTCTGAAAAGCAACGGCTTTCGCGCGGCTCTGCACGGAATTATTTCGCGGCCTTCCGCCGCAAAGGAGCGTGCGGTAAGGGTCGATGTATGCCAGAAGCTCCTCGATCGGCGATGGACGACGACTTGAGCGAGCTTCATAATTGCTCAGGAAAGTGGACCTACCACCCAGATAGGAATTCGAAGTGGGTGCTTTGATCCAAAGCCAGAGTTCGTTCTTAAGCGAGGTTGCGAAACCGGGAAGGAGTTGCTCTCGTTTTTCTTCTGCTCCACCGATGCATTTACTACGTGATTCTTCTTGACTGCTGTCTGGTACTGCTGTAACATCATCAATATTCTCTGAGCAACTACGAGAGCTAATGTCCCGAGCTCCAGTTTCACATCAATACCGGGCAAGTTTCACATCGTCATGGACAACGCCCGACCACATCATGCGAAGGCGACAAGGGACGAGCTGGAGAATTTAGGAATCGAATGGCTGCCCCATCCTCCGTATTTGTGGAATCCTTAGTCCTTGTGATTACCATGCTTTCAGGAGTCATCCAGCTCACCCAAGGGAAGATGTTCAGCAACCGTTAGGATTTCTAGCGTATGGTCGATGAATGGATCGCATCTCAGCGTGCTACCTTCTGGAATGAAGGTATGAATGATCTGCCCAATCGGTGGAGAGACGTAGGCTAGAAGAGCCACTATCTTGTTGCTAATCTTTGGCACTTATTATTGTTCATATGTATTGGATGAAGTGACTGAATTCTCTCGAAACTTTCCGGGCATCCTAATATTTATTAGGCAACATTAAGGCAAAATACAGAAGATTAAACTTGCCTACTGGGTCAGAACTACAGAACAGCAACGTTAGTGATGGTAATATTCGGATTAATGCCCTCGCTTACAAAAGGCAGAAAAGATGTCAAAATAAATCTTGATCTTTTTTTCGATCAATAATATCTCAAACAAGTTCTTCAGAAACAATTATTTATCAATATGCCGAGGTTCACCGAGAGTTGAACTTGGCGTCTACTTCGCAATGTGCCAACTGAACATCATCGACTCGTCAGGGAGGCTTTGTCGCTAAGGCAAAAGATTGTCTTAGCGCGTCAATCCATCCACTTCCTCAAACGCTGCCTGGAGCACCGTCTAATACCGAAGTTTATCTTGAAGAAGCAGTTACGCGAACTGTTCGGCAGCCCACCCACCGGAAAGTACTGGATGTCGAGATGCGGCTTCTTCGTATGGCCATCCGAACAAAACGTGACAACATGTACGCTATGCTGAAGAAGTGCGCGTCGAAATAAAATCATTGTGTACAGTATTTGGAAGATCGCCTCTGGAGGAGAATAATGGGTGGGTCAAAGTCGATTTGTGATCGTATTCGATCTAATGCCAA